TAAACCAGGGGAGGTGCCATGTGACTTCTGCCTTGGCATCAAGTTCAAAGCCTACAAAACATGTTTGGTTTGTTTGGCCTCTTATTGTGAAACACACCTGGAGCCTCATCAGAGAGTTGCTGCCTTAAATAGACACAAACTGACTGATCCTGTGCAGAACCTGGAGAACAAGATTTGCAAGAAACATAATTGGATTTTAGAGCTCTTCTGCAGGAATGACCTGACTCGGGTTTGTGTCCTGTGTACAGAACATAGCACTCATGATACAGTCCCATTAAAGGAGGAGTATGAAAAGAAGAAGGCACAGCTAGAGCAGAAAAAGGTGGAAGTACAGGTGATGATACAAGAGCGACAAAAGAAGGTTCAGGAGATAAAAGAAGTAGTGGACACCAAGAGGAATGACAAAGATGAAGCCCTAGCAAATACTGTTCAGGTCTTCAGTACTTTGGTAGCCTCGGTTCAAAGCAGCATGACTGGGCTGATGAGTGTGATTGAAGAGAAACAGAAAGCAGCAGAAAGACAGGCTGAGGTGCTGGTCAAAGAGCTGGAGAGGGAAATCAATGAGCTCCAGGGGAGCAGCACTAAACTGGAGCAGATCTCACGCACTGAAGACCACCTTCAGTTCATCAAGAGCTTCCTGTCCTCCTCCTCCTCCTTTCCACACACCAAGAACTGGTCTGACATCGGTATCAGTGGTCAGCACTGTGTGGAGGACCTGAAGAGAGCTATGGTGAAGCTGGATGTGACGCTCACCAAAGAGACGGAGCGAGCTACTCAAGAATTCAGGGCGTGCTGTGGTAAAATCCTTGCTGAAGAAACTGACACAGTGAAGAAAGCTGCACTAACAGTCACAGATCTAGAGACTCTACCTAAAGGTGTCAAGTTGGACGCAATCCGGCAGCAGTATGCAGTGGACATGACCTTTGACCCATGCACTGCGAACGATCTGCTCCTGTTTTCAGAGGATTTAAAACAAGTGCGAACTTCTCACCTTTGGTGGTTTGCAGATGAAGTCCCACACAAATTTAACAGATATGCCTACGTCCTGGGAAAAAAGGGCTTTTCTGAAGGGAGATTCTACTTTGAGGTTGAGGCCACAAGGAAGACTGGCTGGGATTTAGGAGTAGTCAGAGAGTCAACGCGTGGAAAGAAGGCACCCACACCAAACCCCAGGAATGGAGTCTGGATCATTAGATTGAGGAACAACACCAAATGCACGGCTTTAAATAACACCACTGTCAACCTCTCCTTGAGAAAGAAACCT